AACACTTTTGTAACATATCTTATGTACATTCATGTTCATATATTCATATTCATGTAATATTGCTTACATATGTCCAGGCTTTGAGTGAAGTTGCATTTAGAAATAACAGTATAAATTATTTAATTCTTTTTAAAAGTTTGTCTTGTTTAAAAGGATGTGATTAAAATATTACAACTGAGACTGTCTTGAAACACTTACTGAAGCAGTTTTTAAGAGAATACTAACAAGAGCATCACCATAAAATCAAATGTGAAACTACATTTTACAAACTGTTCTGCCACAATATGCTTAAAAATCTGTTTTGTACTCTGAGCTTCATCTTTCATGTCCACCATATTGGAATGATTACAGTTAATATTACAGCTAAAAGCAAATGGGAAACAAACTGGATTTAAAAACAAAATTCTTAGAATGAGCACACTGAGATTAAGCTAAAAGGCTTCAAAATCATGATGCGGAAAACTAACATATAAAATATTTAACATGTTAATTTCCAGACATCCTAATTGCTATTTAGCAGAGGCTGTATTCTTAAAATGAAAATGTCAGTACAATTCACATTGCTTTATCAGCTTCAGATATTTGGCATAAAACCATTAAGACTGATTTTGAAAAAGCTACAGATGCCAGTCATAATTTCTTGGTCAATGTCTAATATATTTGATGCAATTAATGACGATAAAAAACAAAATGAATAATCAGGAGAAATGTGATCTAACCCATTTGCTTCATATATTACACAACTGGTTTTACTCATGAACACATTATGCTATAGAAGAGAAACTTTATGAGAGTCAGAAGCTGGGAGGTGATGGCGTTGTGATATTTTCAATGGGCTAGTAATCCAAAGGTCTAGGTAATGTCCTAGGGACCTGGGTTTTAATCCCACCATGGCAGATGATGGAATATGAATTAAATGTTAGAAAGGTAAACTGAATTAAGAGTCCAATGATACTGATTGTCAGAAAATTAAATAAGGAATACTGCTGTCTTTATTTGGTCTGCCCTACATGTGACTCCAGACCATGTGACTCTTAACTGCACTCAGAAACGGCCCGGTAAGCTATTCAGTTGTATCAACTGCTAAAAAGGAAAAACAGAATGAAAACAGACCTGGCATCAACTAAGGCAGTGGAAATGATGAAGGTAAACACAGCCCTGTCTATCCTGCAGAGTTCTCCTCACTCTCATGTGGGGGTTAGTTCCAAAATTGGAAGACCTGACTCATAGAGTTTTAAAGTGAAGCAAAGGCCCTTGAGGCCATTGATCCTGTGGTGATTTATTTAGATTAATTCCACTTTCCAGGCTATGCCCTGTAATCCTGAATGTTATGGCATTTAAGTGCTCATGCACGTACTTTTTAAAGGTTGTGAGGTTTCCTGCTTCAATTATCCTCCCAGGCAGTACGTTCCAGATTCCTCAAATACCTCCACAAGTCCTGCCCTTCACCTTAAAATTATGCCCCCTTGTTATTGACCCTTCAACAAAGGGGAACAGCTACTTCCTATCCAACCTGCCCATTCCCTTCATGATCTTATACACCTCAATCAGGTACCCTCTTCAACTTCATAAAAACCGAAAGAGACATCGATACTGTAAATCAGAAACAAAAACAGAAATTGCTGGAAAAGCTAGCAGGTCTGGCAGTATCTGTGGAGAGAAATCACTGTTAATGTTTTGGGTTCGCTGGTTGTGGGTATGGGGTCATTTACATTTGTCGGTAGCTGTTGCAGGGTGATTGTTGGTTTGTGGGCTACCCTGATACCTAGGGGTCTGAGTAGTCTTGTGGTCATCTCTGATATGTCTGTGATGTACGGTAGGGTGACTAGTGTGTCTGGCCATGTTGTGTCTTGTTGTGGTCTGTCAAGGAGGTAATGGTGAATTGTGCTTTTTGGGTATCAATTCCTTTTAAAAATTCCGTATAAGTGCTTCTGTTCTTCTTTGCGCAATTCTGGATTGCTGCTGTGTGTTTTATCTCATTTGAATAATGTCCTGCCGCAGCTCTGTTTATGGGTGTTGGGGTGGTTGCTGGTGTAATTAAGTATCTGGTCTGGTTGGGTGGTCTTTCTGAATACACTAGCCTGGAGTTCCACATTGTTCTTACGTTCCACCATTACATCCAGGAAGGGTAGTTGGTTATTGTTTTCTTCTTTGGTGAATTTTATTCCCATGAGGATGTTGTTAATGTGTTGGTTGAGTTCTTCTAGTCTTGTGCACTTGATAATCACAAAGGTGTCATCTACATAGCAGACCCAGAATTGGGGTTGTATAGTGGGGAGCGCTGTTTGTTCTAACCTTTGCATTACTGCCTCTGCAATCAGCCCTGATACTGGGGACTCATTGGTGTTCTGTTGATTTGTTTGAATATACGGTCGTTGAAGGTGAAGTGGGTATTGAGGCACAGATCCAGCAGTTTCAGGGTGCTGTCCTTGTTGATGCTGTTGGTGTCATGGGGTGCCTGCCTTCCTGATTCGTCCAGCAGTGCGGCAATTGTCTCTTTAGCTAGGTCAATGTTTATGGATGTAAATAGTGCTGTTACATCGAAAGATATCATTATCTTGTCCTCTTCTATTCTGGTGTCCTTGATGATGTTGAGGAATTCTTAGGAGAAGTGGACAGAGTGGGTAATGTTATCTACTAAGTATTTCAGTTCCATTGTAGTTTTTTGGCTAGTCTATATGTTGGCATGCTTGGTAATGAGACAATGGGCCTGAGCGGGACTCCTGGCTTGTGTACCTTGTGGAGTCCATAGAAGCGGGGTGTGTTGGATCCTTCTGGTTTCATTTTTGGTAGTCTGTCTTGCTGATATCTCCTGAGTTGTGTAATTTCTTCACGGTTGTTGTAATCCACTTCTCTAACTGTGGTGCTGGTTCTATCGCCATCTGTTGGTAGGTTTCAGTATCTGCTAGTAGTGCATTAGCTTTCTCGATTTTTGGGCTCTGTCGAGGATTACTGTCATAGGTCCTTTGTCCACTGGTAAGATTACAATGTTTTTGTCTTTCTTGAGCCTTTCTCGGGATTTCTTCTCTTCTGTGTTAAATGTGTTCCACTTACCTTTTCTGCTCAGTATTGGGACTATTGTCTGTCTGATGGTCTGTTGTATTTCCTCTGTCAGTCTGTAGCTCTTTGGTGTGGATTCCAGTGCAGCCAGGAAGTCAGTTTTTTTGGTGTCTCTCCAGTTATAATTCAGTCCTCGTACTAGGACGGTCTTCTTAGTGTCTGTAATTGGTTGGTCTGAGATGTTCTTGATCCATGTTTCTGTGTTCTCCATGCCATTGATGTCGGTGATTTTGGACAGTTTTTCTTGTAGGGCTATTCTTTTCTTTGTTCTGGTCTTTTGTTGTTGTATGTTGATGGCTTGTTCCAGTGTGGTTGTCCATTCTTGGTCAGTTGTGTCGGAGTACAAAGTCTTTTGGTATGCAATTTTCCATCCATTAACTCCATCTTGACTTCCCGCTGCCTCAGGTAGGCAATCAACATTATCAAAGACCCCTCCCATCCCAGTCATACTCTCTTCCACCCTCTTCCGTTGGGCAGAACACACATACAAAGAGATTCAAGAACAGCTTCTTTCCTGCTGTTATCAGACTTTTGAACAGACCTCTCAAATACTAATTCTGATCTCTCTCTTTCTGCACCTTCTCTGCAGCTATAACACTGTATTCTGCTCTCTGTTCTGCTACCCTGATACACTTTGTACAGTACAATCTGCCTGTGTAGCATGCAAAACAACACTTTTCACAGTATCTTGGTACATGTGACAACAGTAAATCAATCAATCAATCAATCAAATCCAGGCTTGACCAGGTTGACAAGTGGTAAGTAACATTTATGCCACACAAATGCCAGGCAATGACCATTTCCAAAAGAGACAATCTAACCATCGCCTCTTGACATTCAATGGTATTACCATCATTGAATTCCCCACTATCAACATCCTTAGGGTTACCATTGACTAGAAACTCAACTGGACTCGCAACATAAACACAGTGGCTACAAGAATAGGTCAGAGGCTAGCAATACTGCAGTAAGTGACTCACCTCCTGATTCCCCAAAATCTATCCACCATCTATAAGGCACAAGTCAGGAGTGTGATGGAATACTCCCCAATTCCCTGCATTGGTGCAGCTTCAACAACACTCAAGAAGCCTGACACCATCCAGAACAAAACAGCCCACTTGATTGGCATCACATCCACAAGCATCCATTCTCTCAACCACTGACACCCAATAGCAGCAGTGGTGTCCTATCTACAAGGTGCACTGCAGAAATTCACCAAAGCTGCTAAGACAGCACCTTTCAAACCCACAACCACTCACATCTACAAGGACAAGGGCAGCAGATCAATGGGAGCACCACAAACTCTAGATACCTCTGCAAACCACTCAGCATCCTAACTTGGAAACATATTGCTGTTATTTCTGTGTTGCTGGGTCAAAATTCTGGAATTTCCCATAATGACTTTGTGGGTCTCCCATAGCATGTGGACTGCAGCAGTTCAAGAAGGCAGTTCCTCACCATCTTCTCAAGGGCAATTAGGGATGAGCAGTAATTGCTGGACCAGGCTGTGAGGCCCATATCCCGTGAGTAAATCTAAAATGGAAGTTGAAATGGGCTGAAATAAAGAATACATTTAAATTGGCATGGATTTAGACTGGTTTATTTCCTCTCTCCATAGTTTCTATTAATGAAATGTTACCAATCCAGTAAATAAATGATAAGATGTTAAATGCACACAACAATGAGATTCTTCAAATATGCTTGCAGCCGGTGGGCAGAATATTTTCCATCAATGAACCTTATATGGTTGGCTTGCTGCACGGAGGTTACCATCAGTTGTGGTGGATTATAGATGAAGATGATTAACAAAACAGAAAAAATACTCCTTGAAAAATTGGCTTCGGTGAAAATAATTTTTCCAAAACACAGTGACTGAACAATTGCATCAGCATCTCATTACTGTGTTTTCCCGGACTAATTGCTTTTGTTCTTTTATTTAGGAACAATTATAATGTCAGAGGACCTGAGGGATGCTCTTGATAACATGTACGATGCTCGGATTCCAAAGATCTGGTTCAAAATTTCCTGGGAGTCTGCTACTCTTGGATTCTGGTTTACAGAACTGCTTGAAAGAAACCAACAATTCCAAACCTGGATTTTTGATGGAAGACCAAACCAGTTCTGGATGACAGGATTCTTTAATCCTCAGGTTAGAAGGATATTCTGAAAAATATGTAAAAGAGTCTTGGAGGTAAAAGTTAGTTTAAAAAGTAACACTTGGAAATGAACATACTGGTCATACTGGAGCTTCTTTCTGAGGTATGCAAGACCAATCAGATTATTATGTACTATTTGCAAGTTTTGCTGGTCTTTCCTTCAGTGATAGCACTTAAACTCATGACTGTGTTTATTAATAGTCATTAAATCACATAATTGCCTTAATTTTACTGTTTTAGGAATGTTAAGATATCTTCATTTATTTTGCATTACTATTAACAAGGCTGTGTTGAATTAGTAAAACACTTCAGGATTTTCTGGAAGTAATTGAAATATATATTTTTAAACTGTTAACCTGTTCTGAAATTTTATATTTTCTGATGGTGAGAAAATGAAAATCATTTTTTATAGTTTTGTAAATGTTAGAAGTATCTAGACATCAATTTTGATTGTTGTCAACAAACTGTACTACAATAATTTATTTTCCAAATGAAAACCGAAAGAACTGTGGATGCTGTAAATCCAGAACAAAAAAACAGAAGTTACTGGAAAAGGTCAGCAGGTCTGGCAGCATCTGTGAAGAAAACATCAGAGTTAATGTTTCGGGTCTGGTAACTCTTCCTCAGAACTGGTTCCTCAGAAGAGTTCTGAGCAAGGGTCACCAGACCCGAAACGTTAACTCTGACTTTTTCTTCACAGATGCTGCCAGACCTGCTGAGCTTTTCCAGCAGCTTCTGAATTTGTTTTCCAAGTATTGTTCTATTTTATTGTTCTCCCTTTGTGTATGCTTCTCAGTCTCTTGTAGACCTTTGCTTTCAGATTGATCATTCTTAGAATTATTTAGGTTACTGCCTTCATCGATTCCACAATCAAGAACATCAAAGTCTCCCATCAATTCCCTCCTCACTGTCCTCTTAAGGCTCATCGTTTTCAATGAGAGTCCGAGACCGGTGGTAGGTTTCAGGTAACCATTATTGCAGCTCTATTTTCAGTACAGATTCATTTCTCCAGAGCACAAGGCAGACAAAACATTTTGGAATGTCTTAACTTATACAGTTTAAACTTAGAGCGTACACGCCTCCCCTTTGTTTACTATTGGTCAGCAGTGCTGAGTTATCCCTTTGTAATTGGATCTCTGCTACAGCATCTTGTACTGTGCATGCTTGCCTCAGCAATTTACTTGACACAATTTAACTGTTGATAGTCTTTAACCCAAAGGAACTACTGCTGCACTCAGCAATTTCAGTTTATTTCATGATGTTCCCCAGACTCTCTTATCTCCCTTCTTGAGGCTTGTCAACAATGGATAATGTATTCAAATACATTCCTGCCCAGATACTTGCCAGCTGCACCATGTTAACTGCCAATTACTTAGATACTTGTCTATCACTTCAGAACTTTTTAAATTCCTTATTAACCCCATTACAGGAAGTACAGAAGAATATTGATTTTTGCTAAAAGTTATATCAGTTCCACAAAGTTATGTGGTTACACCTAATGTTAGAATTCTTTAGCTAGCAAGTTGTGTTTACCGTATTTGCTAGACACCCCCATCTTTATCGTTGGGTGTCTTATAATGTGTTCATTCAACCCACCTTCCAATGTCTGTTCATTTCTTCCTGTAATGATATGGAGCAGCTTTCACTGTCTGAGACTAGTTTGCTCTTATAATTTTTATTTGAACTTTTTCTCTTAACGCTTTTAGTGATCGGTGAATCTATAATACTTCAGAATCTATAACTATGATTATCTGAAGAATCTTAACTAAAACCTATTTTTAGCATTGTACAGATTGATTAAGTAATTCAAGAGCACTAATTATTGTGAAATGTTCTTATCTATGTTTCATGCGCAAATAACTGCAGCTGCACATTCTATCTCTGTTCAGACTTGAGTCCACGGAGCTACTATTGTTCTACTTGTGAAGACCTCATTAAGCAAATACTTTTTCCAAGCTCTCTAACTACTGTCAACCATGTTTTGCTGCATTAGCTGTGGGCAGCTGTCTGCCATTTTGTTCTGCTCAGTCATGGGCATCCCTATCAGCCCATTTTGTACTTAAATTATTCTCTACTGTCACAACAATGTAGACTTGCCACTGACCTGAATTTAAACCTGGACTGTCTACATTTGGCCTGGATTTTCCCTCCCAATTTGTCTGCCCAGAGTTGGGAGAATGCCTGGTTCTTGAATCTGACCTTTAAAAATGGCTGCCCAGATGCATCTTAGGCAGGGTCTTTAGACAACAGCTTCCAAACCCATGATCACTTCCATCTAGAAGAACAGAGGTAGCAGTTACGTAGGAACACCACTCCTGCAAGTTCCCCTCCAAGCCACTCACCATCCTGGCTTGGAAATATGTCACCCTTCCTTCACTGTCATTTGGTCAAAAGCATGGAATTCTCTCTCTAAGGGCATTGTGGGTGTACCTGCATGAAATGAATTGCAGCAGTTCAAGGAGGCGGCTCACCACCATCTTCTCAAAGACAATTAGGGACGGGCAATAAATGCTGGCCTAGCCAGCAACTCCCATACCCTAAGAATGAATAATGAATAATGAATGATTTTTTTTCATTGGATGTGGAGAGGTTCGATCGGTTGGATTGGAAATTGGGGCAGACAGCGCTGGAAGAAGTGAGGAAGCTGTCGAGTGTGGAGGAGGACTGATAGTAGGCCTGCCTTGATGATTTTACACTGTCTCCACAATCTAAATCTGGATAATAAACCATGAAACATTGCTCCAGCCCTCACCTTTCATCTCATATGTATTCCTGATGCATGCTGATCAACATATCGATAGTTTTGGAACTTTATTGCCATTCCTTCAGTGTTACTGGGTTAAAATTCTGGAACTTAATTCCTAATAGCACTGGCAGTCCCTACATCCCACAGACTGCAGTGGCGCTAGAAGACAATTGACCACCAAATTTTCAAAGACAATTAGAGCTGGGCAAAACAGGCTGACCTAGTCAGTGATGCCCATTTCTCACAGTTTGAGGGTAGTGGGTGGATGCTTAAAGTCACATCTGTGCTTTTCTCTCTGGAAGTTGGTAACAGTAATAGTTGGATGTACAGTTCCTCCACGTTAAGTACATAAGTCAAAGTTTGGCTACATTTGCAATATTGTGTTCAATTCTGGTTGCCACACTACCAGAAGGATGTGGTGGCTTTGGAAAGGGTACAGAAAAGATTTGCCAGGATGTTGCCTGGTATGGAGGATATTTGCTATGCGAAGACTTGGGTTGTTCTCACTGGAACGATGGAGGTTGAGGGGTGACCTGATAGAGGTCTACAAGATTATGAAGGGCATGGACAGACTGGACAGTCAGAAGCTTTTTCCCACGGTGGAAGAGTCAGTCACGAGGCGACATGGGTTTAAGGTGCGAGGGGCAAGGTTTAAAGGTGATGTACGAGGCAAGTTTTTTACACAGAGGGTGGTGGGTGCCTGGAACTCGCTGCTGGGGGAGGTTGAGGAAGCAGATACTATAGTAAGTTTTAAAGGGCGTCTTGACAAATATATGAATAGGATGGGAATCGAGGGATACGGTCCGCGGAAGGGTAGGGGGTTTTAGTTGCGACAGGCAGCATGTCGGTGCAGGCTTGGAGGGCTGAAGGGCCTGTTCCTGTACTGTAATTTTCTTTGTTCTTTGTTCTTTGAATTGGACCTATATGTCTCATTTGCCAGTTTTACTGGTTTTAACCATCCTGCTCCCCACCTCTCCCACAATTCCCACCGCACAAGACTTGGAAGAAAGCAGCCTATTGTCTCACCATTGGTTCCGTTGAAGGCTCGGCCTCCAGCAACAATCTCTGGAACCCAAACATCTGGCAGTTTTTTGCAAGATGGGACATCAGCATCCAGGCCAGTGATTGGCTGAGAAGACCACCTGTAAGTGCTTCATTACCTGATTGGAGCCCAGCATACTTTCCAATTGGTGGGGGCAGAAGGTCAGTCCACGCTTGGTGCTTTGAGCACTGAGGCTCAGCCAATACATCTATGCAGACTTCACTACTTTGAGAGAAAAATACTCTAATTCAAAAAAACCCATTTACAACATTTACATTCCTTCAGCTAGATAAAGCCTGACATCAACAAACACTGCAATCAAGTGTACAATCATTTACAACAACAAGCATTTGAATTCATTTATGTTCCATTATCAAAGAGTCTATAATCACTTGTGAATGGGGCAAACGGTTGGAGATGGTGTTTGTTTGAGATCTGTATAGAGTATCATAGCAAATTTGTTCACATGGCAGTTTAGCGCATAAGGATGAAGGTGACTCCATCTTCTACCTGTTTTATCATCTCAGCAAGTTCTCCTTCATTGTCTTCAAGCTAACAAAGTGCAAATTCCTATTATATTATTCCGGATGTACAAACTATGTGTTAATTCAGTAACTAAATAAATAAATTGTGTAAGAGATGGCAGCACTGGTGGTGATACAACATGTAACAATGTGTGAGGTGCACTGCAGTAAGTGTGGCGACAATTTCCACAAGTTTGGCTCAGAGTTGCTGAGCTAGAGTCTGAATTACAAGATGGTGGATATGCTGGTTATGATCTTATCAAAGTTCCTTAGACTCAGGAACAGTGCCGTCAGATTGAAAGTTGTCAAGTGTTGCACCACTTTTCAGAAAGGAGGGAGTGAGTAAAAATGGTGCCTCAGGTCACTTAGGCTACTATAAATGTTTGGGAAAATGGTGGAATCTATTATTACGGGAGCCTTAACAATGAGCTTAGAAAAGCAAAGTATTATAAGAAAATCCTTTTTGACAAATTTATTGAAGATTTTTGAGGATGTAATTAGTAAGGGAATTAAAGGGAAAAACCAGTTGATGTAGATCTAGATTTCCAAAAGTATACAATGGGGTTCTGTACGAAAGATTAATAGGCAAGATAGGGACTCATGGAGTTGAGGACCATGTTATTTGCATAGATGGGTGATTAATTAATAGTAAGGAAGCAGAGAGTGGGCATAGATGGGGCATTTTTAAGTTGGCAAGCAACAGTTAGTGGAGTGCCACAGGGTTTAGTGCTGGGGCCTCAGTTATTTACAGGCTATATTAATGGCTGAGTTGAACAGTCAGGGAGTAATGCATCCACAACCAAAAACAGAAGTTGTTGGAAAAGCTCAGCAGGTATGGGAACATCTGTGAAGAGAAATCAAAGTTAACATTTTGGGTCCAGTGACCCTTCCTTAGAACACTGTTAAAACGTTAACTCTGATTTCTCTTCACAGATGCTGCCAGACGTGCTAAGCTTTTCCAGCAACTGCTGTTTTTGTTTCTGATTTGCAGCATGTGCAGTTCTTTTGGTTTTTATTTAGTATTTAACTCACTGCCACATCTCTTCTAGCCATGACCACCTTGAAGAAGTTCTGCTCCTCTCTCCAATGGGATTTCCGTTCCAATTTTTTTTCTTGTCCACAGACATTAATTTCACAGTCAGTCCTGGTGTTTGACCAGGTAATTGCTAAAGCTCATTTCCACAGCCATATCACATTCCTCAGTGACTGCCTCTGGCTCAGACTCACCCCACGTGGATTCCAACTGAATTTCATCTCTTGTGCTTTGAATCCACCCAGGATCACAGGCATCTCTGTGATGTTCAACATTTCATAGACAGCTGCTCTTGCCGCATCCTGAGATCCACATTCAGTCCCATGTGGCGTCACATGCACACCCTCAATCTCTCTCTCCAACAGCATTGCATCGCGCTGGTTCAGGGATCTGAGGAAGGGTCACCGGAGCCGAAACATTAGCTCTGATTTCTCTTCACGGATGCTGCCTGACCAGCTGAGATTTCCAACAACTTCTGTTTTTGTTTCTGATTGACAGCATCTGCAGTTCTTTCGGTTTTTAGTAATACATCCACATTTGCTAGATTGAAAGGTAAACTGTGGGGCCTATACAAAGAGGCTGCAAAGAGAAATGGGCAGCTTAAGTGAGTGGGCTGCAGAATAGGAGATGGATTGTAATGTAGCGAATCGTGAAATTATTCAGTTTGTTTATGAGAATAGAAAAGCAGGATAGCTCTTAAATGGTGTGAAACTTGTAGGTATTGCTGTTTAAAGACACTTGGTTGTTTCAACATCTGCAAAAAGTTAGCATGAGATACTGCAATCAGGTAGGAAGGCAAATGACGTGTTGCCTTTATTGCAAGGAGATTGGAATACTGGAATAGAGAAGCCTTCCTCAAATTGTGCAAGGTTTTGGTGAGACCACATCTGGAGTACTGTGTGCAGTTTTGATCTTTCTATTTAAGAAAAGATATATTTATATTGGAGACAATACAATGGTCATTCACTAAACTGATTCCTGGGATGAACAGTTATCCCATAAAGAGAAGCTGAGCAAACTGGGTCTATATTCTCTGGTGTTTAGAAGAATCAGAGGCAATCTAATTAAAGTATACAAGATTCTCAGGGGCCTTGATAGGCTGGACACTAAGCTTGTTTCTGCTGGTCATGAATCTAAAACACAAAGTCCTAGAACAAAAGGAATGGATAATTTAGGATTGAGATGAGGAGAAATTAATTCACTCAAAGCGTTGTGAATCTTTGGAATTCTCTAGCCCAGAAGGTTATGGAGTCTGCATCACAGAATATATCTAAAGTTGGAAAAGATAGATTTTGATGTCTCAGGAAATTGTAATATTTGGGGCAGTGGGTAAGGAATTTACTGAAGACCATCCTGATCATATAGAATGGCAGAGTAGGCTCAACAATCTATATGATTTACTCCTGCTCCTGTTTCTTGTGTTCTTGTCACTGTCAAACACAAAGACATCACAGTATTTTCTCTTGTCCTATTAGCAATGTAAGAATATAGGAACAGGAGTTGACCATTAAGAAGGAAAAGCAAGACTTGTTTGTATAGCATCATTCATGATTAAAGAACATCCCAAAACACCTTACAGCCAATTAAGTACTTTGAAGTACATTAACTATTGTCCATAGGAATCCCAGCAGCCAGTTTATGCACAGCAAGCTCACAAAAGCAGCAATGTGATAAAGGCTATATCATCTGTTTTTGTGATGCCTGCTTGCTGCCTACATTGGGAATGAGGTGCTGGGTTAATCACATATTGTGATCTCTGCACATTTGTTTAAGGGTGATGAATTTTGCAGCTTTTGATTTTGAAACATTAGTGAATTTTCAATTGATCTACGACGTTACCTCATAGGGGATTGACTTCTGCATACATTGATTCTGCAAAAATTGATCTATTGATTAAGATAAGGATATTTCTTTCCTCAGGGCTTTTTGACTGCGATGCGACAGGAAACCACACGTATGAATCTGAGCAAGGGCTGGGCACTGGACAGTGTCATCCTTTATAACGAAGTGACCAAGATGATGAAAGAAGATGTTAATTCATTCCCTCCTGCAGATGTTGGTGGTGTTTATGTTTATGGCCTGTTCTTGGAAGGAGGAGGCTGGGACAGAAGGAATACAAGGCTGATGGAATCACCTCCAAAGGTAACATATGATATAAAGAAATGAAATATTTGGATTTATAGATGCTCATTGTAGCAATTTTAATCTGCAATAATTGGGTTGGTGGTCATTTTACAAGCAGTAGCAGGGTCATATCAAGACTTAGCACAGGAACAGTGGAGCCACCGCAATCCTAATAGGCTACCATGACACCCAACAGCAAGGCAACATATTCTTACCATTCAGGAAGCGGCTTGAAACAGTACAAGATTAGGATGTAGAATGCATAAAACATAAACCACCACTGGGCAGCACTGGGGTTAAAAATGCTGAGCCTTTACAGGACAATAAATTGGGTTTAGTTTATTGCCATGTTTTTCAGGAGAGTCTCTCTTGTGCCAGATTAAGTGCCAGCAATTTTCTTTTTTCATCTTGTACTCCTAAAATTGTTACATCCCACCACTGGGGTGCTTTCAAAGCAACCTTTAGCATTAGCTTCACATTATCTTGTCAAATGTAAATTATAGTTAGGTACTTTGGCATTCCCCGAGGTGGGCTGTAATTTAATATTGAAGGAGCCACTTTATAAACCTCTTCTTTAATTCTCTTCCTGTTCTGGTGCAGTTTTATAATTTTATTTAATGGTCAGCAAGTCTGGAAATTGGAAAATACCGTGTATCGCTGTTTGTCTAGTAATAAGTATTGATCTGATCCAGATATAAACTATAAACTGCAAGAAGCGTTCCTAAAAGCAGGCAAAATTCAGCCAAGGAGAGAAACTTGGAAACAGTATGAAGCACATCATCAGTTGTCCATCTCACACTTGAAGCTAAAGGCATTGACAAACATTGTCTCCCATGTACCTTTAATAGTTACTGTTTGAATGCTATTTATCTTCAAAGATGTGAATGGGGTTAGTCATTCTTAGCAGGATTTTGCAAGAGTTTGAAGTACATCAGACTCTGAATGCCTTTTATTTGCAGGCAGGTTGCTTATCAATGAATCTCTCACACAGGCTCTGGAATTTAGTCATCGTGGCAGGGTTTGACTATAGACCCAAAAGCTGACACAGCCTTGATTCGGCTTTTCTGGGAATTTTGGCCACAGTTAATGATTTATTTAGCAAGTAGTAAGTTGCCTTTGTGGACTATGTCCTAGTTAGGGACAAGAACCTAATTCCAAGAGCTGCCAACAGCTCAACAATCCCATCAGCTCCTTTGGGTGTGATGATCATGGCTGGCACTTCACCTAGCTAAAAGGACACAAGGACGGATGTTGACCTTACAATGATTTAAGCGGAGTTCAAGATCACTCGGGATAATCAGGTAGTGCCTGGTGAAAAGGTGAGTTGGTTAGTGATGGTGGAAATGTCTATTGCCCGAAGGGCAGCCATGACCACTGGTGTCCCCATCAAGGGCCACAGAGTGTCCATTTAAGGTGTCCTTAACACCCCACACACATATGTCAGCATGGGAGGCTACCAGAATTCACCTAGCAACTCATTATATGGCAAATGACCCACCCTGTGGTAAAAAGACAGCAGATGATGCTTAGTTAGTCTTGAAAGTTGTTCAATTTGTTTCCATCGTTCCTTCCATTGGTGAAATGTTATGTTGGTAGGGAGGTGATGGGCACTCTAACCCCTGCTTTTCCTCAGCATTTTAAGGGTTCTACAGCCCCCTAGCCTATCTCAAGAGGCTGGAATTCAGCCCTCTAAAGGGTAATCCATGCAGGTAACAGCTCACTTACAAGAGGCAGAGTGGATAACTGTGAAAGGTGGCCATTTCCCAACTTTTCATTACCTGTACTGCCTAATTTCATCTGCAGAAATGATCATTGATGAGACTACCTCCATTTTTGTTGTTGAAAAGCATAATAGACATAGTTTGCAGGTTAAGGGAATTATGATTCTATTCAAACTGCAAACAGTCTTGTGTAGCTAAGCAGTTCTCTTCATTTGGCCCATTTATATACTTAAATGAATACATTTATATTTTAAATGAAGGACAATAGTATTGTCAGACAGCAAGAAAGTCATATTTTTGTGCATAGTATTTCACCTCTACCGATTTCAATTTAAGGAAGTTTATTGCCACCAGCCCTTTCTAACAAATTAACATACAGTAACAGAAAAGCAGTCTGTATCCCTTTCATACAAATATCTATACCCTTTAAAATATTTGAAACATTAGGTGGACTTGAATTTTTAAATTATTAGTGAGGTTATTGACAGCAATTAAGACATCACATTGTGAAAGAGCCCTAGACTGGACTGAACATTCTGTCCTTTGGGTGTCATGTGAAAATCATTTTAATGCCAATACCGGCTCATTTGTTATTACAAAAACAGATAGTACATGACTGATAGAAGCAGCAACTTATTGCCGAGCTCCTCCTACTCCTGACTTTTGGACTGATTCAGTCTTGCAGCTGTATAGCTGAGACACTAACAGAGTACTGGGGAAAAGTCTCTCCTCTGCCATGTGTGTGGAGAGGGATTCAGTTATTTAACCAACTTTACACCATCTACTGCACATTGAGGAGAGACTATGTAAATACTCAGACTGCAATTTAATCCATCCTGGAGCTCCTGTCAAAAACAAGCTGCTGGCGACGTTACTTTTGCTATAGAATGTTTTTTATTTTCATTCTTCTTAATTTCCTACCTCTAGATCCATAAGCTGTTTTTCAATGACTGTTACATACTGGCAGGTTGTCATAAATATTATAACAAGGACAAAGGACCAAAATCAATCCGATCTTGCTCTGTGTCCTTCAAATCAGCTTAGCCTCCAGGTTAGGTACAGATCTCTGGCTTGACTTGGGCCTGAAGGAAACTGCATATGGTTAAAGTTCCGATGTTTAGTTCAAGTCATTAATCTTTAGTCCAATTGACTTCCAACTTGGAAAGTGACCTAGACATCTTAACAATGACATCTTTATTCGTATCTATTCAAGCTGTATGAAGTATTCCTGAATTATGCACACTGATTTGTTTGAGGATTAGGGATTTTATGATTTTATGATTCTAATAGACCTCTAGACAGAAAAGATTGGTGTAGACATGTATTAGAGCCTTAAGCAACCCAATCCTACATTGTTGTAGATTCAACTCAAAGCCTCGATTGAAACAACCTCAAAATTCTGGGCTGAAACTCCAACAGTGCTGCACATGCTTCCAGTTAAAATGTTTCTCATGACTACACATGGATTGCTCCAAAGTTGCGACAGATCTTTCAAGGACCATTGACATCTCTCAAGCAAAAATAATGAAATGCTGATGAATTGTCAGTAGTTTTTTAAACGTAAGTTTCAACAGGAGGAGAGAAGGAAGGATACAGGATTTGCAAATAACTCAAAAAATCACCATGTTTTGGTGAGATGAATAATCCCACAGAAGTTCAGGAGATACCATAATGTTGTGCTTGACTGAATATTGAGAACAGTTAGCAAATGAGTAGGGAAAGAAGAAAAAAAAAGAGAAATACAATAATACCCCTGGTCCCACGATAAAGGAACCTCCATGAGTTTCCACCATTCAAAATAATGGTTAAAACAAAATCAGCCTCATTGTAATTGAGCACTCAAACCTGCCTGATTATTTATCAATTTCTCCTCCAGTTTGTTTCATGATCTCCTTTAGCAACTATGTGATAAAAGAAATGACACCACAGGGACGTAGATTTCAAAGCATCTTTGTAAACTTTTGAGGAGGTTCAGTATGTGTCTGTAGCTCACCAGTCTCATTTTAAATGAGGTACAAAACCAATATTAAATGTGCCTTCAGCCAAGTCATTCTGACGTAGGAATGGGATCCTGTACATAGGCGGTTTGGTGTGAGTGAATCTGTAGGAGCAATTATAGTCCTAGTCCTATAGCAGTTATTATCCAGATCATGTGGAAAACATAAACAATTAATAAATCTGCATCAAACATGTTATATTTTGCAGGACAGACTAAAACAGTGTGCAACACATAGAAAATCAACACCAAATTAAACTCATTTATTCTGATATTAACATTAGTGTACAGTGGCCAAAAGAAGGTGCTATTACACTCCTACCTCCTTAATGAATGCGCTATTTAATGGTTAAAATTTCATGCAACTTATATAGAATCATAGCATCCCTACAGTGTGGAAGCAGGCTATTCAGCCCATCAAGGCCACACTGACCCTTCGATGAGCAGCCCACCCTATCCCTATAATCCTGCTGTTAATCCACCTAGTCTGCACTTCCCTGCATACTATTTAGCACAGCCAATCCACATCCTTAGACTATGGGAGGAAACTGGAGCACCTGAAGAAAACCCACAGAGACATGGCGAGAATGTACAAACTCCACACAGATGGAGAAATGGCCTGAGAGTGGAATTGAACCCAGATCGCTGATGCTGCTGCTAACCACTGAGCCACTGTGCCACCCTAAATGTACGGCTTGTTTTCATTTATTAACCATGGATTTTCAATTGCTAAGAGATGCCTTCTTTCTTGACTCAAACTTTCAACTCCTGAGGAAGGAATCTGACCTGTTCTGATATGAGACTGAGGAGACGTTTTCTCTAACAGGGACCGATTTTACCGTTTACCAGACACGACTTTCTGAATCTGACTCAAAACTGAATCAGTTTCATTCACAATTTGTGTTGGAATAACTAATGGTACTCTACCCTAACTATCCAATATGTCAGAACCATTTGACTCATCCCAACATTTTCATTACCAATCTTACCAACATCTTAACTGAATATGTGTGACGACAGCACACTTCAAAACTCTCCCTGATAGCCACTTCAGCCTAATGTGTTCTTCTATCTTAACCTGCAGCGTCAACTTCTCTCATTGTAACCCATAATTGAGACTCTGTTTTTGTGTAGATTGTTTTTCATCTATTGACAGTAGTAAAAGTGACTTTTAGCAATGAAAACCCCATTCTAGGCTGTTTTCTGAAAAACAATTCAGCTGGAGTTGTCAGTGGTAGTATGAGGTATATTGCAATAAATATTTTCCAGTTTATACTTCAATGGCATCTGACATTTTTTCC